GTTCCTACAGCCAGAGAGTGAGTCCACAGATTCATTAAAGGACTCAGTTGTGATCTTAGATTATGTATGACTCGGGGGCTACAAAGTGATACTTCACTTCAGCAAGTGGTGGAAATTGCCAAGATGTTAGAACGCGTTTGAGTTAAGGAAAAAGGTAACTAAGGAGACCAAGAGGTCTCGAGGTTATGGAGAATTCAGTGGATGCTACTTTGCAACTATAACTCATTAGGGCGGAGACTCGAGTAGTCGGTCAGCTTAGTCCGCACATCATATTACTCAGGGTGCACCTGTAAGTTATTTTACTGCTCTGCCAACACGAGGTTCCTATAATGGTTATTCTAGTTATCCAGCACAGACTCATTATGAAAGGCCGCACCCGCAGAGGGGTTGTTATGAGTGTGGTGATAATTGGCACATCATGAGAGATTGTCCTAGACTTGGGATTGGCATATTTCATCATAGCACTCAAGCTACATGCTCCATTTCAGTTGCTACTCTACCTACATATTCAGTTAGGGGTGCATGACAGGCGGGTACTGTAAGGACCCATAAAAATTTTACCCAAAAACTCGGTGTTTCGTGATGCCAAGTTAGATTCCTGCGTTATTATAGTAGAAATTCTGCGGTTCGGACTTTTTGGATTGAACAGTACCCTACGGACTGAGAGGATATTGTTTCGCAGAAAAATGCATTTTTGCAGCCCATTATGTGGCCGCATAATCACTCTGCGGACCGCATAATGGCCGTATATTGAAGCAGTAAGTTTGACCAACTTGAGGTCAGTTTTGCGGTCGATTATGCGACCGCATAATCGATATGCGGACCACATACCGATCGCATAATCCCTCTTGGTTTTTTGAGGAGGGAGTTCTGCGGTGCATTATGCGATCGCAGAACGAGTATGCGGACTGCATACTGGTCGCATACCTGGGCCATAAGTTCAGGCCCTGAGGGCCATTTCTGCGGTCACTTTGCGGATCGCATAACCATTATGCGGCCGCATATGTGACCGCAGACTTGTCTCGGGGCACCATTTTTCTTAATTTAAAACCCGACCCCCATTCCGTTAAAACACCCCTTTAGTCCATTTTGAAGCTTATTTCTCATATTTCTAGTGTGTGTGAGAGAGAGAGGGTTCTAGAGGGAGGGCCTAATTTTCATCAATCAATTTTCAACCATCACTCAAAGCTTGGAAATACTCAAGTAGAGCACCCAATTTCTTCATCCAAAAAGGTAAGATTTCATCACCCCAGCTCTTAATTTCAAACATAGCTATAATGGGGTACTAGGGTAATACTTCATGGGTATGAGAGTGGTTCATCTTGCATGCATGTGATAAAGAGTGTGGGAAAAATAAAAAGTGAACTAGAACTATGAATATTTTCCTAATTTTGGGTTCAATTTGTATATTGCAAAAATAGATTGAGGTTGCTAAGGGTTTCAGAAAATTGTAGAGTCTAAAGAAGCACAATTGAGGTATGTATGGCTAACTCTCTTCTTCTTAGAATCGAACTCCTGGTGTCCAAATAATTGGTGTAAGTTCCAACTTGATTATATTAGAATTATTTGCCTTAGTGTATTTGATTGAAAGATTCATGTTCCCTAATTGTTTTAGATGGTTACCATGTCATCATGCCATTTGAGAATGTAATTATGATTTTCCAAGCTCCTTCCCTTATGTGCGAAATGCCTTATGTGATGGTACTTATCGACATGAATGATAATGTTATTTGAACAAATAAAAAGGGGAAGACTTGAATTGTAAAATGTGCCCAAGTGCCAAGAACTACTTAATAAATGAGGTTGTTTGTGCCATATAAAGAAAGATGGGAAAGAAATGTGATTAGAGTGAACAATTAAAAGAGGTTATGTCTCAAGAGAGATGGCTTAGCCGATCGGGCCGAGATCGGACGCCTTGCTGTACACATGGTGGCATTTGTGTTGGAATTATTGATTTACATTGTGGATATAGATATGTCTCATTTGAGATGGCTTAGCCGGTCGGGCCGAGACCGGACTCCGTGTAAAAACACGGTGGCATTGTGAGTTGTGGCCTTGGCACTAAAGATTATTAATCTAAAAAGATGGAAAGATTGGATTGGAAACTATGTGACCCTTACGTGGTGTTTCTTTGTATTTTTATGAAATTCTTATTGATTATCATGACTATCTTCTCTTGGTTTCACTGTTCATTCTACTAAGATTGGTGTTTGCCTTACATACTAGTACTATTCGACAGTACTAACGTCCCTTTTGCCGGGGGCGCTACATCTTTAAATAGATATAGGTGGTTCTATCGCAGATAGGTGGTGCTCTCTTTATCTCCCCACAGCAGTCTTGGTGTGCCCCATTTCTCCCAGGGGTCATGTAGTCCTTCTTTTGTATAAGTTTTCATATTTTGAGGTATAGCCGGGGCCTTGTTGCCGGCATTGTCATGTTGTTCTTTTGTACTCATAGTGGCTCCGTAGAAGTTTTTTGTGGGTCATGTATGTATGTTGGGGCGGTCGTTGGATCGAGTTGTATTTTGAAAACTCAACTATGGCATAATGTATATAGGGAAAATGAACTAGCAACGTTTATATATTTATATAACTGGTCTCTCCTCTGTTTTACAAATGGTGATGCGATCCTTTATTGGGTTATGAATGAGACGGGTAGGAAAGGTTTAATAGGCTTGCTCGACCGGGTTCACTCGGTTGAGCGCTGGTCGTGCTCCCCGAAGTTGGGGCGTGACAGGTAGAGGGCGTCCTAAAGGTGGAGATCTGACCCTTTGATATAATTACTATGAATTGGCTGAGTTTGTTACACTAGATGGTGTTGTTACAGGTATGATTTAATTCATAATAAAGGAGCACTATTCTTATTTTGATTCGATTTCGATTATCGAGGTTAGAACTCCTTTCATGCTCCTTATATGGTGAGTTTGTGAATTTGCACACTGCTCTCTTGTTTATCCCTGTTGGGAGATTTGATGGTGTTAGCCCGTGTCTATCATTTTTGTTTTGTACACTATTGAGGGCTATGAGTCCAAAAGTGACTTTCTGTTACTCAATACAGTGGGTTTTGATGTAATTTCGGGATAATTGATTAAAATTTTATGAATTATATGCCCTACCGGTATGGGGTTTCATTATCTGTCGTGATTTTGTTTAACAAAAATTATTTTAAAGAAGAAATGGAAAGATTTCGGTTGGCACGATGTGCAAATTATTTGTGATTCAGAGTTGAGGATGAGATCCTCGCATTTAAATATGATGTGAAATGTTTAAACCGGGCTATAAGCTGCGGTGAAAGTTATATAAGGACGAGATCCTTGAGATAAAAATTTAGGTGTTTAAATTCTCCCTTGTGAAATTTAAATTTGTACTATAGTACTAATAGGGAGTCATATCTGTTAGGCTTATTTGAAAATTCTTGTTTGAATTTATCTGTGCATAATTTGCCAAATTCATGTTGTAATTATTGAGTTTTAACCTACGAGGTAGGTGCCCAGGTAGCATTACATGTGACTCGTTAATTCGGGTAAATAATTATGAGGCCTTCATGCCTCACGTCTCGTTGTCAATATTGTGAAGGTTTGAAATGAGATTTTTGTTAACATGAAGTTAAACGACGATGCTGTAATAGGCTATGCTATGGTTATGGGCGTATGCATGTTGCGAAACGTTATGTGGTTGTGCTGTGTGAGCGTAGGCACGAGTTGCTACAACCATCTGAGACAAATACCGTGAGTTGATATGAAAATCGGACCCTTTTGAAAATGATTGGAATGTAAGAAAATTGGTTTTAAGGTTTAAAAGTGTGGATGGGAAAATTAATCTCAATTGAGATGGTGTTGTTTAAGCTATATCGGTTTCGGTGACGTGGTATCACCCGCAAGTTTGTGTGTAAGAGTAAAAAAAAATCAGTAATTTGATAACCTCAGAATAATTCTTAGCACGTTCGAGGACGAACGTTTGTTTAAGAGGTGGAGGATGTAACAACCCGAATTGTCGTTTTGAGAAATAGCGTCCCGTTCGATGGTATAAGAGTTTGGAAATCGCGAAGAAGAAATTGTTGCTGCACAGGGCTGACCACCGGAACACCCAGGTAAGTCCTCCTACCACCGGAACACCCATGTAATTCCTCTCATCTCCCCCATCATTCTCTCTCATTTCTGGTTCTTCTAGTCTCCCCTACTTCTCTCTCTCTCTCCCTCCCCCCCAATTTCTATCCCCCTCTCTCCACTATGGTTCTTGTGATCTTTCCCCCTTTTCTCTCTCCCCGATTCTCCCTCCCCTTTCTCCGTCGTTTCTTTTCCCTTTTTTGCGAGAAGCTGTATCGGCCGAGTCTCTATCAGACTCACAGGAAATCGGCCCGGATCTGAGGCTGCGGTATTGCATACCTCTATTATATCTCTTTTTCCCCCTTTGGTTCCCCCTTATGTTTTTGCAGGCATTCACTACTGGATCAGAGCGTACAGCAGACGTCAAGATTAGTTGGAGGTAGTGGGAAATCATCTAGGTTACTACGACAGCACGACCTTGACATTTACAATGATGCACCCAGGTTTCACACTAATCGGGAGTTGGAACCTCCTGTTCTTCGATCAATATCTTTGTCTTCCTTGTTGGTATCCAATTAGTTTGCGATAGTTTAAGCCTAAATCTTGATTACCTACAATTAATTAGTGCATCTGGTTTTGCTAGTATCTGTTTAGGGATTTCTACACTTTAATTTGGATTCTTAGTAGTGGTTCTGTTATCACTAGTTTAATTCTTGCTTGTCTTCTTGTCTTAATAGTACATATTTCTAGTGGTTAGAGGTGTAAGTGTTAGACTTGCCTCATTTAGTTTAATCCTTTATTTGTTTTAGCGACTGTTCTAGCGTAATTTTCCTTAGATTATAGTGGTCGGGGTGAGTGATGGTAGAATAAGGTCATGTCCTCGGGTGGGAGGGGGGCAGAGGTGGCAAGGGAGTCTCTAGGTTGAGAGTGGGGGTCCTGGAACGTAGGTACTTTGATGGGAAAGTCTATAGAGTTAGCGAAGATCCTCCAGAAGAGAAAAATCAACATAGCTTCCGTCCAGGATACTAGATGGGTGGGTTCGAAGGCTCAAGATGCTGATGGGTTTAAATTGTGGTACTCAGGACGCGAGAAAGGTAAGAATGCGATAGGTATCTTGGTTGATAGGGAACTTAGGGAGCTAGTTGGAGAAGTTAGGAGGGTGACTGACAGGCTAATGGCTATTAAGCTGGGTGTGGGAGAGTCTACTTTAAATGTGAGTAGTGCTTACGCGCCTCAAGTGGGTTTGAACGAGGAGATTAAGAGGCATTTCTGGGAAGACCTTGATGGGTTGGACTGTGGTATTCCACACACCGAGAAGTAATTCATATGAGGTAATTTCTATGGTCACATTGGGGCAACCTATGGGGGTTATGACGGTGTGCATGGAGGCTTTGGATTTGGAGTTAGGAACGGAGGAGGTACTTTGTTGTTGGACCGTGCTAAAGCCTTTGATTTGGTGATTGCTAACTCGTATTTTCCGACGAGGGAGGAACACTTGGTCACATTCCATAGTTCATTGGCCAAGACTCAAATTGATTATCTACTCCTCCGGAAGTGCGATAGGAGATTGTGCATGGATTGCAAGGTTACACCAAGCGAGAATCTCACGACTCATCATAGGTTATTAGTGATGAACTTAGAGATCGTAAGGAAGAGGAAGAAGAGGTATGTGTATGGTCAACCCAGGATAAGGTGGCGTGCTTTGACTAATGAGAAAGCATAGGAGTTGGAGGGGGGGAGTTGTTGGCTATGGGAGCCTGGAGGAGCAGTGGCGATGCGAGCTGTATGTGGACAACGATAGTGGAGTGTATTAGAGTAGCTGCAAGAGAAGTGTTAATATCACGACCCAAACTGATGGGCCGTGATGGGCACCCGGTGCCTTAACTAAACGAGCACCAATGTAACGTATCTTTCTTATCATACCATCATGGGTAAATGGTCCAGAACAGCTGTCATGGTATAACCAGAATAAAATATAAGGGAATAGTCAACATAGGATGACTCAACATGGAATACAAACTTATACATGTGACATACGGGCCTATAAGGACCACATGATCATTTGTACCCTGAAAATATAGGCCGACAAGGCCATACAAGTATCCATATACATGAGATATGTCTACAAGCCTCTAAGAGTGCATAAATGTCATAAAGGTCGGGATAGGTCCCTGTCATACCAATCAATACATGTCCAAATCATACAGACCAAATAGGCAACTCCGGAGCAAGTGGAGTGCACCAACACCTTCCACTGAGCTGATAGCCTACTAGAAGGACTGTCGACCTATCTATCGGGACCTTCGGGCATGAAGCGCAGCATCCCCAAGTAAAAGGGACGTCAGTACAAATAAAGTACCGAGTATGTAAGGCATGAAAGCAATACATAAAAGACATGAAAGAAACATGGAGTAAAGAACTAAACCTGTAAGTATGAATAGCTCTGTGAATCATGAAATGTTTATAATGTCATGCATATGCGTATAAATTTCACATCATGCATAGGTATGTGCGTACACAACATCATTAAGCCTCTGAGGGCATCCCATCATATCATCTCGACTTCTGTGGGCGAAATCATCATTGTAGACCAATTGATCAGGTGGTGGTGTGTATATAATGCCCTAACCTTTCCCCATATCACATTTACATATAATATACGCACATATAACGTCATCTGGTCATGGGTTAATGTACATGTATAAATGAATGCAATGCATAAGAAGTAAGTCAATAATATCTCTCGAGATTTCATAAGATCAATATGCCTTTGGTTAATATCATGAAATAAACTTTATCAACTTACATATTTTTTGAAACACATTAACATACGATATAATAATAGGACACATGGAAAATCAAGAACATAGGCACCCCTAGTACTTCTAAGAATAGAGTCATTTGTGAAAGTTTCGCGTTTGCTCATTTTGTTTGTCTCATATGGATCATTCCCAAAGGAAAGAAGGGATAGCATTAACATATCTTAACTCCATTGTGTCCTTAATACCTTCCAAGCAATTCTTCAACCAACTTAATTCAATCAACCATAGCATAAAGAGATTCAAAATCAGTGTTGAGTAAATGCTAAATCCGCAACTTAAACTAGTAGCTCGCTTATGTAAATTTGGGCAGAATCTCCCCTGTAACAAGAGCCTCTTCCAATACCATATATCAACAACAATGACCAGATCAATCCATCAATACATAATTATCAATAACAAGACACCATATAAGAACAACAAGTCACAACTACTTCACGACGAGCGGCAAGCTCCGATTGAAACCTGTATACCCTATATCACCCTTTATAGACTCCTTAATTTAACTTAACAGTATTATGAACATGATAATGAAGTCATTCATCAATGATTTCAGCCTTATACCATATATTTATAATAAAGAAAACAATCCACAACTCCAACTATTCCCAATTAGTAACTTTACTCACTAGTTCATGTCTAGCCCATCCATTTAACTTAATAAACATCAAGATAACCTTAAGCACATGCAAGCACACAGTATAATTACCTCCTACGGTGGATTCAAGTCGAAATCCATGTTATATTTAGCTTACAGCAGCCCAACACAACCCAATCAGTTGATACCCAAAACGACAACTATAGTAATGTCAAAAACCCCGAAAATATTACAAAGAATGAATAATCCACCATTTCACCATTATGTAGTGTTTCTCCACACAATTTCTCCTCCAAAACTCCATTAAATAGTAGCAAAATAGACAGCCCAAAAACAACACGAAACAGCCCACAAAACAATCCACTACAAGTAGAATAACTCGAACCCACGACTTCCGATCACCGTCCCGTTAGTTCTAACTATTAAGAAATGAATTTATCAAGCTTCGTTGATATTTAAAATCTTAAATACTGAAAGTAGTGATTTTCATAACTATTAAATACCTTCCAAAACTCAAACTACAAAGAAAAAGAGAGGTGATATAGCAATACTTAAGTCGTAGGGATCGTTCTAATGTTATCGCTTCTTGATTTCGTACCCGGGATGTTAATCTTCATTGAAACCCTTGTAGAGATATTAAGGGTAAGTTTATGGGTCTTATTTGGTCGTGGTCTCTGGAAAAATGAAGAAACAGATGACATAAGGGATATAAATATCCATTTTGTTGAAAAGTCAAAAAGGTGCTACTTGGCACCCTAGCATTGGTCCTTCTTCCAACGCTTATATCTTTTTATCCATTTGTCGTATGAATGAACTGTTAAAATCATTGGAAACAAAATTCCAAGATCTTCAATTTTGTATATAATATGTCCCAAAAAGACCCCATATACACACAAAAGTTATTGCTCAAAAAACTTTAGTGACCCACCTACTTGTCACCTACGCAGTCTGCGCAGTCTCGCAAAACTGCAAATATCTCTCTACTCTGATGTCATATCGACGAACAGTTTAATGCATTAGAAACTAAACTCATAGATAATCAATTTCATATATGGAGAATCCTATAATTCTAAGTACATTAGTATAAAAGCTTTGCTACATTTGACATAATATTTAGCACATTATGAATGTAACTTGTGATGACCTTTACCAACTTTTGTTCCAAAACTCGCTTGACTTCAAAATGTAACACACGACTATAATACAACTACAATAACTCATAACATAACCTCCTTATCATGTTAAGAACCCTAGTATCACCCCAAAAGTATATGTTATAACATTCCAACTTGTCAACATTCGACGAAACTTATTTTCTTCAATTTGCTTAGCTCCTAAGCCTTTCAACCCTCTTGGTAGTTGTTATCAATGATCTTAAAGATTTGTAACCTCCAAGGTAACATGATTAACTTACTTTATGTACTTTCAAAGATGATCTCATTTATGAGCTTAAATCAATTGACTTATGATGTACTCTCACGTACGAAAATATAGGGTGTAACATCACTTCCCCCTTTGGAACATTCGTCCTCGAATGTTGACTGGTGCGCCTATCAGTCTCATAACCTATAACTTTAATGAATACTTTAATACTGCCCTTGCCATCTAGGAAACTATTCTATGAATAAATTCAAAGGCCAAGGCATTCCCCCCTTTAGGCCTCTTTCTCACACCATGACTTGTGGTCGGAATCCTTTCAATCTCGTAACTGTTGCTACCTTCTATCATGTAGCATGTACAACACTCACCTTGTATGTGCCTATGCGAATCTTCTCTCCTTTTCCCTCCATACTATACCATAACTATTACTTCGATTTATTATTACCGAAGTGTGCTACCCAACTCAAGTTTACTCTCTCCCTGCTTATCATATATGTATAAATCTTCTTCAGGTCCACCTTAATCCCCTCACCAGACACTACATGGCCCAAGAATGCCACTAAATCAAGCCAAAACTCGCACTTGGAGAATTTAGCATATAGCTTCTTCTCCCTCAAAGTCTAGAGCACGATCCTCAAGTGCTTCTTATTATCCTCCTGGTTGCGAGAATACACCAATATATTATCCATGAGCATGATGACAAAGGAATAAAGATTGGCTGGAACAAACTGTTCATCAAGTGCATAAAGGCTTCTGGGGCATTGGTTAGCCCAAAGACATCACCAAAAACTCATAGTGGCCATAACGAGTCCTGAAAGCCATCTTCAAAATGTCTGAAGCCCGTATCTTAAACTGATAATATCCAGATCTCAGGTCAATCTTCGAGAATACCTTAGCACCTTGAAGTTGATCAAACAAATCATCAATACATGGTAGTGGGTACTTATTCTTGACTGCAACTTTGTTCAGCTGCCTGTAGTCAATACACATCCTCATAGTGTCGTCTTTCTTATTCACAAATAAAACTGGACCACCCCAAGACGAAACACTCGGTCTGATAAAGCGCTTATCAAGCAACTCCTGAAGATGTTCCTTTAATTCCTTCAAATTTACTGGCACAATACGATATGGTGGAATAGAGATAGAATGAATGCCCAACACCAAGTCAATACCAAAATCGATGTCCCGATCGGGCGAAATGCCCGAAAGATCTACCGGGAACACATCTGGAAGGTCTCTCACTACCGGAACTGACTCAACGGTAGGAGTATCAGCACTAACATCCCGCGTGAAGGCTAAATATGCCAAGCACCCCTTCTCGAACATTCGATGTGCCTTCAGATATGACACCACCCTATTGGGAACATAACCCAATGAACCTCTTCATTCAAATCTCAGAAATCCCGGCATTGCCAACGTTACAGTCTTAGCTTGACAATACAGAATAGCGTGATATGGTGACAACCAGTCCATGCCCAAAATAACATTTAAATCTACCATACTGAGTAAAAGAAAGTCTACCCT